TCCCCGCAACGACCAGGCCTGCGGTGGGAACCGACTGTGCCGGACGCTTGCTTTGGGTCTTGAGCCCTCACTGATTCACGAGTGAGGCTTTTTAGGTAGCAAAATACTAGAACTGCCTTTCCATTTAAAAGAAAATGCATTTTGTTCTACGGAACAGTGCTGCCTCTTAGCTTTTGTAGGCCCAAATTCTGTCACTTTTTCATTTTAAGACCTTTTCATCAGTAAAGACTTTTTTTCTTCTTCTTTCTGGAGAAGAGTGGAGAGAGGGAAGATAAACAGGACTAGCCCAAAATAGCATTTCTTCTTTTGCTATTGCAGATGCACTTTGGGCTCTGTCCAGCGAGGAACCAGAACTGTAGAAGGGCAGAAAGTTACAGTTGTAGTTAGCTGCTACAAGCACAAATTTGCTGCTGCCTTTTGTACCAGCAGAAGAAACTTTCACACTGTATGGTTTTATTCCTTCAAGGAAAATGGTGCAAATGCATTTGGAAGCCATAAAAGCATCACACAGCTCATGCAATCTCAAGTAACAGTATGTTCAGATTCGCTAAGCATCTAGAGTTACTAAAACATTGAAAACGCCCTCAGAATTAAGAATTGAATTAATATTATGGCTTCAAGAGTAGCAGTCCATTCTAAAATCCTCTAATGATATTTAATGCAGAATTTTGCTTTCCAAGTTCTATCAGAATTAAGATGCAGCATTTCATAATTGTCAAACGCTTTGGATTATTCACTCTGCAAGAGGATGAGCTTAACTTTGGGAACTATCTGATAGTTATCAGAACTAATTATACTTGCTAAACTAGTAGAATGGTTTCAGTAAAGCACCTGTTAAGTCAGCACAAGTAAGTTGAAGGAGCCTTACATTGTACTGAGAAGTAAATGCCATGGATGAGTTTCCAAACTCTTGTATATAACTAGAGCTACATAGATCATGAGGAAATAATCTTAGCTGTAAGCCTACCTTGTTTATGACAGTGTAACGTAGTCACCAAACTATTGTTTATGTGCATCAAACTGTATGTTTTTTTGTAATAAGGGCACAAACCTTTTTTTTTTGTGCTTTTCAATTCACTTGTAATATGTAGGCACATTTTGTAGGATCTCAAATTTCTTTTTAGTTCCAGTAGTACTGAAGTGAACTTAATCGTACCTGTTTCAGAAGGAAAAGGGAAGGCATGAGTCACCTCTGACATCATTTGAGTATATGAAATCCGTCTGTTTCAGATCTCACTTAGACTGCTGAGTTATTCCTCCAACAAGACAAGAGCTTTTGCACATGAAGAGATCTTGAATGTAACTGGTAATTTGTGCTGTTGTTGTGGCACACGTTGATGGTCTTAAGGGTCTTAGTATTATGAGTGCAGAGTGAATTAAATTTCCCTTCGGTCATTGTTGTAATACTCAGATTTATAATACAAAATGATACTATTATAATTTCTTAAAATAACCACTCAATACTGTTGTGATTTGGAACATATTGAAATGAAGTGGAACTTAATTTTTTGCAGGACAGATGGAAGTTTTGTGGTTCATGATATACCTTCTGGATCTTACGTAGTGGAAGTTATATCTCCTGCTCATAAATTTGAACCTGTTCGAGTTGACATAACTTCAAAAGGCAAAATGAGGTGAGTCTTCTTTGATTTTTTTTTTTTTTTTTTAACCTCTTTCTATTCAGTGTGCCCAATAATGTGGTATGGTATGTAGCTTACAATTTCGGTAGATATGATAGCTCTATTTCAGACCATGTGTTGCAAATTTTTTCACGTTACTTCGAGGAACAAATTTCTTAAAATCCAAAGTCTGTTTTTTTTTTTTTCCCTCTTGTTTTTATGACCTTAAAATAGGAAGAAATGGATGAATTAGGTAGGATTCTATAGCTTGTTTGCTTTTATTAGATTCTCATGCAACTATCCTAAAATAAAATCTTGACATAGATCAGTTGAACTGCTTTCTCTTTAGATGTGCCTCATTTACCTCCTTTTATTCCTTGCATTTTGATAAATGATCACAATGTGCAGTGAAGGACCAAGTTTGTTCCTAAATTCTAGAGTACATCCATTAGATCTCCGTAAAATCTTCTTTCTAGTTGCTAGTATGCAGTTTTTCTGCAGCATCGTTAGACTGTTTTTGCTTGCTCTGGACAGGTAGATCATCAATGATATAGGTGTGTGTAGCTACACACTGTTCAGTAAACAGTGCAGAGAAATGATGATCTTATTAAGATGATATTAGTTTAAATAAATCTTTTTGTACCTACTTTTCCTGTAGCTAGACAGCAAAGACATATGTGTGCAGCTTATGAAACATAATTTTATATATAAGATTTAAATGACAATAGTATTTTTGGGGTTCTTCAGCATTGAAACCTTAAACAGAAAAGAGTATAAACAATCTGTCTATAATAACAGCACTTTTTTTAACTTTATGATCTTAAGTTTATACTTTGTTAGGCAGAATCTCATTGGTAACTCTAGGGTTCTTTTTGTAATAAAGTAGGAAGGAACTTGGTGATTGAATAGCCGAGATACTGTGTATAAGCTCTTATTGAAATTGCTTATTTCAAATGTAAAGCGATGTACTTAGGGAAAAGCCAAAATTAGCATCACAGCTGTTACCTCTAAGCAAGATGTGTGCAGTTCAAAGAACTCTGTGATTCAAAGCTGTACCTAATCGTTAAACTGTGTAGTTATGTTTATTACCAAGGTGAGAAAAAAACTTCGCAGAAGCTGCTTGCAAATAAATGGTTCTAACATTTCCAATATGTTGTTTTGTTTCCCATATTAAATTCTACATTCTGCATAAATAGCCTGGGAAAAAAATGATAGAGTGCATATTATTCAATCACAGAAAGCATGTTGGTGAGAGAGATTCGCTTCTGAAAAATGAAACTGCCTAGAGGTGTATTTGCAGTTTATTATTAAAACTTTGGAGTAATATTGAGTAATCTTTATTTTTTAATAGCTGGAAGATTGTAATTTATTATTATTACTTTTGGTTCATTAGAGCAAGATATGTAAACTACATCAAAACTTCTGAAGTCGTTAGGCTGCCATACCCACTTCAGATGAAATCTTCTGGACCTCCTTCCTACTTTATAAAGAGAGAGTCTTGGGGATGGACAGATTTCCTCATGAATCCTATGGTACGTATAAGCACCACACAAATGTGGAGACTATGCTAAGCATGCAAACACTAGTTCTTCAGAATACTGCAAATAAAATAGTTGCAAAAAGATATGCACTGTTTGCAAATAACTGCTCGCATAATATTCTTGAGACAAGGAATCTTTAGGTGGTTTAAGATTTGTTGCTGAAAAATCCTTACTGACAACTGCAACAAGTATATTGATATTGGAACTGCAACTTAAGATGTCATGCTCTCAACAAAAGGACTTTTCTTTGTTGTTGTAAAAATGATCAGATTTTGCCGCAGCTTCAAGCATAATTACATTTTGCAAATAACATGTATGGACATCCATAGTAGAATGCTTCTGATTAATTCCATCCGTTACTGATTGATCAAACTGCCCATTGTTTGCACAACTAAAAAAATTGTCAGGCAGAAATGTTTTTGGTTTAAATTTTTAATTAGACTATAAATGACCATATGTGTTAATTTGCGGAGAAGAAAATTATAAATGCCATCTAGGCATCATCTGTGTTTTCTTTTTCTACAGCTAATAGCATGCCTTGGCTCTCTAAGTCTGAATTTTTGTTTGTCTTTAAATGAGCCATCCTTGGGAAAAAAAAATGTTCATTTTAATGTTTCTCCAGTTTTAAAATAGCAATGCTAATGTTCATACCATTCTGAATGTTTGAGTAGATGAAGACATTGGCACTTGTTTTGTGAAGGTGCTTGATTTTTATGCCTTTTTTTTTTTGATAAAACTGAGCTTTAGAATAATGTCTGATGAAAGATGTGAAAATTGTTTCTTGCTTTTGCCCTGTTTTTAAATAGAAAGATTTTTCTCTGACCACTTTTACTTTTGATGGCATGATGCTTATTCTAGTAGTGTGGAGCTCAACAGGTTGCCAGCTTGTAATCATAAGGGTTGAAGGAATTAACAAGCACCTGCATTAGTAGCCTGACTTTCATGTCCTTTGTTTGTAACTTAATTCTTCCCGACTGGTTTCTTTCCTAACAGTGGGATTACTGAAACTGATTGCAGTAGTTGTGGAGTTGGACTATCTAGCTAAAAAATGGATGTCAGTTTATCTAAAAATATTTTTGGTGACAACTAAGTGGAAGAAATATTTTCTGGTCTTTGCTGTGTAGGTGATGATGATGGTTCTTCCATTACTGATATTTGTGCTCTTGCCTAAAGTTGTCAACACCAGTGATCCTGACATGAGACGGGTAAGTAGTTTCAGTTGATGCAAATGTGGTGAACAAGGATAAGTACAGAAAAGATAGAGAAAAGGTGATACAACCAAAAGTGGACTTTCGAGGAAGGCCTAATGGTGTTATTTATTCAGTTAGTATTGTGTTGCTGTTTTAGGAATGAATTCTGATGTTTTAGACCTGTGATTTTTGTGCTTGTGACATCACACAAATTGTTTGGCACAGCTTTGAAAACATTACAGCATGAATGATGTTTTACAAAGCTTTAATACAGCATTAAATTTCTCAAGGCTAGTTTTTCTCTAAAATTCCAACATATTTCTGTACTTTGTTTAAAGTTAGCATTTTAATTTTTAAAATTATGTAATCAATGACATCCAGTGTGTTACAATAAATAAGGTGTGTTGTCTCTTAACCCCAAAAAGCATAGCTTAAAAGCTTGTTAATGTCCGATGCTGCAGTAGTGCGTATGATATGAAGTCTTAATGTAGTCATTATGTGATTTATTGTCCTTCCACCATGCAAACTGCCGATAGCAGAAGGCTAGGACAAAGTGGAGATTCAAGGTGTTTGCTAAATTTTCTTCTCTTATTTTTAGAACTATTCCTTGTCTGCCTTTGGGTGGCTTCTTTTGTGGGGCTCGGTTCATTTAAATTCCTTCTCCTCTGAATGACCACTGTCTTCAGTAGTACTTTATAGGTGTTTGAGCTGCTGCTTCTTTTTTCCTTTTTTTTTTTTTTTGTAAATAATACCTCTAAGAAGCTTATCAGAACTATGTAATGCCTCTTTTAGCTTCAAATTCTGTACAAACAGAATGTGAAAATACACTCTGTGACTATGGAATGTTCTTTAAACTAAGGTGAACTTTGCAAGTTGAATGTTAAAAAACAATTATTTCTTAGTATATTGCCCCATTTGCCCCTGCCTACAGACAGGCTGCTCTCATGGTTTTGTTCTCATTACCTAATTAATATGATTGGTTAAGGAAAAATTTTAATTGAAAGAATCTTGCCTGTATTTTAAGTTATTTTTAGGGAATGTCAAAAGGTAGTTTTAAAAGGTCAATTATAATGGCATTCATGTCAGCAAATCCATGTCATGTCATAATGGCTGTATATTAAATTCTAAAGCCGATACCCAAATTCAGTTTGCTTGTGACGGGTCTGGAGCTTGTAGTATATTTTTCAAGTTAGCTTTTTGTTTTCTTTAGTACTTGTTTATCTAGGACATTGGTCAGCTAATGACTCCGCTTATTGTAGGAATACTAAGTATAGCAGTAACAGTAACAAAAGGCTACCATTACAGCTTTTGTTTAAATTGTATCTTGAACACAGTTTAAGCTGTATCAGTACAAGGCAATTTTGAATGGTAACTAGAAAAGCAAGATAACAGCACAATTTTAAATTTGCCATTAGTATAAATATTATCATTTCTCCATGTGCTGTTGCTAATCTCTTCAAACAACTTCAAAAATATATGTTAGATGTGGATTACTAATTCGTGAGTCAAACTTGAAAAACAAAGTATGCGAAATCGATGAGAATGCGGATCCATAAATGTAAACAGAAGCTTAAAAATTAAAATTCAAGAAAGTAATACTGAAAATGACAAGTATTTCAATAGTGTTCTTTTTATTATAGCAAATGATGATTTTTTCCTATCAGTCTGCCCTGTAAGGCTGCTTAAGACATGGTTACCTTTTTCCATACACCATTGCTTTTAGTTTCTGGTTTTTATGTTCCTGTGCGTAGTTTGGGCATTTGGTTGTGGTTGCTTAAAAATATGCATAGCATTACGTTCTTTGGGAGACCGCTAACAGTAAAGCAGTAATAGGGAAAATTTCACATCCTGATGCAGTCTTTGAAATGAAGGCTCCAAAACAGCCTGTACTGTCATGAGCTCCTTTTGAGGTTGTCTAATCTTTGCATGCAGGAAATGGAGCAGTCGATGAACATGCTGAATTCCAACCATGAGCTGCCGGATGTCTCTGAATTTATGACAAGACTTTTCTCCTCGAAATCTTCCAGCAAGTCTGGTAGTAGCAGCAGTAAAGCGGGGAAAAGTGGTGCTGGGAAAAGGAGGTAGTTATGTCTTCCTCCTAGGCCTGAGGTTGCACAACTGTCTGTTATGTGATATCATGTCTATTCGTCTTGAAAGATCAAAAAGCCACCACTGTAAACTTTAATCAGGCATGAAAATGGAGTGCTACAACTCTTGCGTGTAGCTTTTTTTAGTCTATTTAAGCAGTTTTGTACTTGACAGTAAGCAAAAGAAGACTTTGCTTCAATACTGTATCCGTGTAAAGTCACTGATATACTGATTTAATTATATTGCTCTGTAGAGAATGATATAAATTATATGATGTGATGAACAGTAATGAATGTCTTAATGATGAGACAATATATAAAGAAATTCTTTCAACGATAATTGAAATGGAGTTTGTTTTTAAATACAGCTTTAATATTTTTTATATTTTCTCCCTGAGTTCTGAAATGAACAGATTCTTTCAAAATTGACTCATGGGGTTTACTGAGAAAGGAATTTGCTGTATCTCCTCATCATGTGCGCTATACATGGGATCATTTTATTTTATGTTGTTCACTGTCTATAAGCTTTATTTAAAGAACTTCCCATTCCAGTTTACTGCCCAATACTATTCTGATGTGGTTTCTGCCAAGAAAAAGTTTAGGGCTAAAAAGAAAAACATCCTTTGGCAGAATGTCTTTTAAGCTCTGTCAAGTTTAATATGAATCCAAGATATCTATATAATAAGATGAATATTTATCTTGGATCTTTCTATTCTAAATCACCTGTATCATTTCTTCAGCACTTCTGATTCATGCTGGCTTTTTTGTCCTGTGCATTAATCTTACTGGTACTGTGATTTAAGGTCAAATATACAAATGTTCAAAAATGAAAGAAAAAAAAAAAAGGTAAATCTCATTCAGCTTTTAAAATTACGTTACAGTAAGTAATGGTAAACTTTATGTATGCTAAGTCGCTGACAGTACCCTAGTTCTTTTTTTGACCATGTCTTTGTGAATATTTCAAGTTAATCAGTAGTAAATTCAGGAGTGGAAAAATTGATTATTTTCCATTAGAAGAACATTTCTAAAATAAAAGGACAGCTGTATGTGCCCACTCCCATTAGCAACTGTCTGTAAATCATTTTTAGCATATGGAATTATTTCTTTCCAAAACAGACATTTGTAATGGTAGTTATGCTATCCTTTTCCGTTTTTGATTACTGACTTCTTCATAGAATCCTTAAGGTTGGAAGGGACCTCTAGAGGTCATGTAGTCCAACCCCCCTGCACACGCAGGGTCACCTAGAGCACGTGGCACAGGACTGCATCCAAGCGGGTTTTGAAGATCTCCAGAGAAGGAGACTCCACAACCTCTCTGGGCA